GTTTGAATTGATGGATATACTATTACACATTGTATACATGTGTTGAAATATCACACCATACCCCACCAAGATGTATAATCATTGTCAAGTAAATATAATAATTTTAAAAATTAAAAAAAAATAGATTTTTTACATGCCAAGACAGAAAGGTTTCTAGTATATATCTATGCTCCAAACAAATCATAGAGTAAGCTCCCATTTAGTAAAATGGAGGGAAACCAACATGTACCCACATTTTCTTATTAATGTGTAAACCATGCCCATCAGGATACACAAGGCATGAATGAAAAGCAATTGCCCATAGGAAGTGAAAGAAGTATCTAAGGAAAGGATGTAGGAGGGAGAGTTTTTTACTGTATGCCCTTTCATTTTTTCCCCCTAATGCATGAATTTGTTACTTCTTGAAAAAAAAACATGGAAGGGCCCCCTGCCCTACCCGGCTGAGAGTAGGTACGAGGCTGGGAAACAATTGTTCCCAACCCTCCTTCCCCCAGTGGGCTTGGCCCTATTGAAGAACAGCACTAAAAGCTTATAGGTAGGAAAATCCTGAAGCAGGAATAAAAAGTAGGGAGTCAGGGTCCCTGGGGTAGCAGTGCTGGAAAGGAAAAGGGAAGAAAACACTGAGGGAACCTCACTGCACACCCCCAGCTGGTCATGCAGCAAGCCCAATTCCAGTGACACTACCTCGTCCTAACAGCCTTCATCTCCTAGCCTCTGGAAGGGAAGAATATTTCTCTCTCTCTCTCTCTCTCTCTCTCTCTTTTCCTCTCTCTTTCTTCTCTCTCAAGTAAGCAAGCACAGCTTGGCTCCCCGAGCTCTCTCATCCAGTTAAACTCCACTCATGAATTGTTGCCCACTGAGAGCCCAGTTCCAGACAAGTTTGGTCCCAGAAGTAAGAGTGTTTTTCTTTTGTGAGACCAAAGACTGCTTCCCCTAGCCCCACCCCCAAGAGGAATAAAGTTATAGCAGTGGCCGATCAGACTCCCAGGGGTCTTTTAAGCCACACTAATCTTTTCTGTCACAAAGGAAAGGAACAGAAGTCACTAACTCTTCCTGGATTTGGTTCTATGTAGGGAGTTAGAGTTTTCGAGAAATACAAACAGCAGAGGGGAAATAGGAAGTGACAAAGGGCAGGATTTCAAGCATCAGGGCAGGATGGTGGGAAACAGTGTTTTGGCATGGGGCCCTTGTGGGCCACGGGAGAGAGGCAGCTGCCTGAGTGCCACCTGCAGAACATGCTCAGCCCCGAGGGCTGTGCTGGTGAGCTGGGGCGGTTCCTCTCCCTGGGGAGACAGGGAGAGGAGGTGAAGGGATGGTGTGCCTTTTTTTTTAGGGAAAGGCAAAGAGGAGCAGGAGGTGTGGGGAACAATGAGATTCTACTTCTTCTTGCCCCTCCCTGAGAAGAGAAAGAACCCCAAGCTGAAGGGAAGACTGTTCCTGGTGTGCCTAGAGGTGCTGTCTAGTGACCTGAGTCAGAACAGGGTGAGTTTCAGGCTGTCTTGGAACCTTCTGAATCTATTCCATTCATGCAAACTAGAACAAGTCTTGACATCACAAAGGCTTTAAAAGAGAATGTTTAAGGGGTGGCATTTGGTGTGTGTGTGTGTGTGTGTGTGTGTACACAAAATATATATATTTACACAAAATATATACAAAAATATATTTAAAGAATTATTTAATTTTATTTATTATTATTACTTTTAAATTTGCCCAGAGAGAGACTAAAAGAAAGGGAAAGTAAGAAAGCAAGCCACTGGGTCTGGGACTTGAACCATGGTCAGTCATGTTAGAGTTCAGTGCCTTTAACCACCATGCCACCCGCTAACCCCTTGGGGTATATTTTGAAGTTTGGGGTGGAGACTGGCACTGGAAGAAGTCACCCAGGATGAAGGCGAGAAGTAGAGGAATGATACACACAGGACACTGGCATTCAGAGCAGACGATTCACCAAGCCCCTCATCGCCTTAAAAAAAAAACAATTGCATGCCCACACCATCTTTATTTATTTATTTCAGCGATGGTAATAGCCAAATGTGCCCTTGCTAACTCACAATGTTGTTCAGAAAGTGCACGTGGCTTGGCAACCATGGGTTGCTTTCGACATGTAAAGGGAGCGTTACATTTGTTACTTTTCTCTTTCACTGTAAGCTTTTTTAAATGATTATAACTTCTGACTTATATATAAAATAGTTGTACATGTTTAATACATGATATACATGTAACACATTAAATACATGTTTAACACATGTACAAGTTTAACAGTTGTACATGTTTAATGAACGGCGTGGTGGTTCAAAGTGTGTATACGTTGTGTGCATTCATCTGTAGTTTGTGTTGTGCACATTTGAAACCCAGTCTTCTATGTTGGTGTATATGTTGAATTGTTACCAACTTTTGTTCCTTTACTGTGTGGTGTGTATTGCCAATGTGGTCACTGTGTATGTCATGTGGGTTCCTCTGGACACTGGAGCATGAAGAGGCATGTGACCCAGTGTCACAACATTTGCAAGTGAGCAGACAGGATACCCAGTTCTCTCTAACTCAGTTTTTTCATGAAGCCAGTGGGTATAACTAAAATATTCAAGACCTTTTGCTTTCACACACATTTTCTCCTTAGTCTTTCCATTTGGACAGGTGAGGTAATAGACCAGCAAGGTGGTAAAACAGACCAGCAAGGTATGGCTTTACCAGGACATTGCCACAGCGATGAAAAGCCAGGCTTCCCATGCCCCAGCCTGATATTTGTCTTACAGCTCTCTTCCCCTAGCTAGTGCTAAGTTTTAACTACACATGGTGGTCAGAGAGGAACATGGGGAGCCCTGGGCCCTGTGGATCAGCGTGGTTGGACTCACCATTCTTTCTGTTGTTTACAAGCAATTGCTTAGAGCAGCACATTTTATGTGCTTTCTTTTTTCTCAAGGAGTCCCAGCTGTAAGTGGAAATGGGGTCATGGGTACAAGGCAGGCAGGCCATAAAGTGCTTCCTGCCCCACCTTTACACTCAGACCTGGATCCCTGATAATGCCTGGAGTGTAGTCGACAGTAGCCTTCTGAGCAAGACCCGTCCTGTTCTCTGTGCATGGAGGGTCCGACCTTTGCAAGATCTCTCTTCACCCTCAGTCCAGGGTGGAGGGAGGATCAAGATGGGGACCTCCATCCAGTCAGTCTGTATTCTTCTACAGATCCAGGTCTGGGGTTCCCAGACTTGCCTGTTAGGAGAATTCTCAGCCAGAACCCCAGACTGTGTAAAACAGACTCTGAGGCTGGCCTCATGGCCCTCACTCACTGCACAGAACCATGTGTGCTCTGTAGGATCAAAGTTATTTGGACCAATGAGACTGCCTTCCCACCCATGACCCTTTTCCCACTCAGCTTGCTTGGCCCTAGAATACTGATCTTGCAAACACATCGTGTGCATACATGAAGGCCTCCTGTTGCTCTCAGAATTAATTCTGTATCCCGTTTCCTGACACTCCAGGCTCTACAAGCTGGTTTCTGTATGTGTGTCATGCCTCACCCCTCGCTGAGGCTTCATTCTCTGGTCTGTTTACTACCTTTCACATCTACTGTGTTGGCCTTCCCCACCATCCCGTCTTCTCTCTTCATGGTCTATCCAAACTACACTCTACTCAAGTTTCTCCTGTACTGACTGGCATGGTCTCCTCCCTGATACGCAACAGCTCACCTAGTCATGCCTCAGAGTATCCACTGATACTTAGGTAGCTTTATTTAAATTACTGACATTCATATGTGTCAATCTGATATCTCTGCAGCTGATCTCCAGTGAGAGTTAAGCTGCTTCTTTCTCTCCATAGGGTGGTCTAATGCAAGGGGTCTTCAAAAAGTTCGTGGAAAACGCATATTATGAAAAACTATGCGGATTGCAACTTTTCCCCACCAAAATAAACTCATACTTTTTGGGGGGAGGGGAGAGGTTTTTGCTATAGGGTACATGCACTTGCCAGAAAGACAGACAGACAGAAAGCAAGAAATCAATCCCCAGAGGGAATGGCCACGCTGCAATCTCTTCTCCTCTCGGGATCTTGGGAATGCACGTGCATGCTCCTGGCGTGAGTTTAAGCCAATGGGTCTGGGACTCGAACTACGGTTGACTACATGGGAGTCCAGTGACATAGCCATTATACCAACCGCTGATCCCAATAAACTCATACTTTAATTCCATAGTATCCACTGATACTTAGGTAGCTTTATTTAAATTACTGACATTCATATGTGTCAATCTGATATCTCTGCAGCTGATCTCCAGTGAGAGTTAAGCTGCTTCTTTCTCTCCATAGGGTGGTCTAATGCAAGGGGTCTTCAAAAAGTTCGTGGAAAACGCATATTATGAAAAACTATGCGGATTGCAACTTTTCCCCACCAAAATAAACTCATACTTTTTGGGGGGAGGGGAGAGGTTTTTGCTATAGGGTACATGCACTTGCCAGAAAGACAGACAGACAGAAAGCAAGAAATCAATCCCCAGAGGGAATGGCCACGCTGCAATCTCTTCTCCTCTCGGGATCTTGGGAATGCACGTGCATGCTCCTGGCGTGAGTTTAAGCCAATGGGTCTGGGACTCGAACTACGGTTGACTACATGGGAGTCCAGTGACATAGCCATTATACCAACCGCTGATCCCAATAAACTCATACTTTAATTCCATTTTTCTGTGAACTTTTTGAAGTACCCTCATATGAATTTCGGCACATAGTAGGGCTTTGACAAATAGCTACTGACTTTAATCTATTAAACTGCAGTTGTCTTGATATGTTTCTAGGGTTACCAAAGCTCCTCACTCATGCTGAGAAGGATGGAGGCACCTTTGGGAGGGAACAACATGAGAACCCCTGGGCTAAGATTGGTTTCAGTTGGTTTAAGCCTCCTCCAGAACTTTCTTTTCTAGAAGAGATTTCCATGGGATATGTATGTCGCTCCAATTTGAGAAGACCTATTGGGGTGAGTGAAGTATTAACCATGGAGTCCTGACCTGTCTTGCAGGGATTTGAAACTGGACAACATCCTTCTGGATGCAGAGGGTCACTGTAAACTGGCTGACTTTGGGATGTGCAAGGAAGGGATTCTGAACGGTGTAACGACCACCACCTTCTGTGGGACTCCAGACTATATAGCTCCTGAGGTAAGACTCCCATACAGAGGGCATCACTTCTTGGTGCCAGGGCTGACGCAGAGGTCCAACCCTGGTACTAGGGTCATCTAGTAGTTCTGGGGGAGGGCTCGGAAAAACTGAACTGATTTCTAAGAAGGAGAGAGAAAAGGAAAGGTAAAAGTTTAGCTGATCTCTCCATTAGGAAATCTCAGTGGTGAAGGAAAGCATTAGTGAACTGACAATAACAAGTCAGTCTCTAAACCCGGGCAAGTCCTCAGAGAACATTGATTTCCTATTCTTATCTGGAACCACCTATAAAAATAGGACCAATAGAAATTTGCTGACTTGTGTCATTCTTTTCATGTCTTAAAGATCAGAATAGAAAAGCACCATTGACAAAGGCAGCAATTATATTAACTGTAATTTGCTTATAGTAAAACTAGGATTCATTTGCTATTTCCAGTGGAGTGCTGACATACATAGTAGACATACAGAATGGAGCAGGAAGGGGAGAGTGGCTATTCTTCATTATAAACAAAGATCAGATATGTTCATTTGAACCTCACCAAAGGGTTGTCTTTGGTGAAAGTTGTTTGGATGTTTTGCTCATCATGAAATGTTTGTTTGCCTTGAGCTCTTCCAGGTCAGTCTTGCCTAACCTGAGAGATACCTAGCGTGATATGATTCAGATTTAAGACATGGTCTATCCTGTATCCTTAATTAAAATAATCTTGATAGTTCTGAGACATGTAAGATGGGGGAAAAGTACCAATCCCCATTAAGCATTTCTCGAGGTAGACTATTGTCGACATTGTGATTTCATTTCCTTTCCCTGGGCATTATTTGAGCACACAAATCAATGTGGAGCTAAAGAATTGACAAAGATACTGGTCTCTCTTCCAAAGGAACTTTTGGTCTAGAGGGAGTAAGAGAAGTAAACAAGTAAAACCGAATAGAATAGTGCTTAAAACAAAATGGTGTTATGTCTTCAAGGACCAGAGAAGGCTTCTTGGAGTACCTGGTGGATAAACTGAGTTGTAAAAATATAAGGGCATTTCTGAAAACAAGAAGGAGGATTGGAATGAGGGCAGTGCAAGGAAGAAAGTTCAGTGTCCCTGAGCTCTGTCTCCTTTAGGGCAGAATCTGTGTTCCTAATCTGGGTATTCCTGGGATCAAGTACACAAAGCAGGTTCTTAGTAATGGTTTGTCGAATGAATGAATGAATGAGAATTTGTGACATTTCAATAGGAACAAAAGCCTTGGAGTGAAAATATGAACTTTTCCAGGGAAGTTAATAGTCTTGCTAGAATATGGGGTTTCTTAGTGCTCGTAGTAATGAACAAGATTAGGATAAAGGACCAAGGAATATGACCAGGGTAGTTATCGGTGGACCTATTAAAGGTTCCAGTAGAGGAGGGTTTTAATAGTAAAAGTAGGATTCATTTGCTATTTCAGACCTGTCCTACCAAGAAGACAGGCAAGAGCTACATAGATCAGAAAGCAGAAAGTGAGGAACAGATAGTTGAGAGACTTTTTACAGACCAGACAAAACATGGGGAAGTCTGAGGAGGGTCTAGAATGAGGAAGATAACTGATAAATTCTCTTTAGAACCTTTATCTTCTAAGAGAACTGAAGAGCAGAGATTTCTATCTCACTGCTAATGTGCCCCCTTAGCAGGAACACTAGGAATTCAACCTTTAAGAAGAAGTACATGAGAACAAGAGCTCTCAATTGAGACTTGCCTTTCTCATCATCTTCATTCTTTATCATCAGAACACTTGGTTCCAGTCTTTCTGTGAGCTGATGTCAGAAGTCAAAGGGTTGACAGCCCTGTGTAGTAGTTAAGGACCCAGTTCAAGACACTCACTTGCTCTACAATGATCAAAAGACCCACTCAGCTTTCATGAAAAGCAACCCTGTGGTAATACAGTGAACAACTCCCATCTCTGTTTATGAAGAAGCAGACACTCTTCCCCCCGATGATATCCTTTGTGTCCATTATGTAGCATCACCACTACACTGGAAATAGCAAGTGGCAAATCATAGCTGCTAAAGGTATTGCTACCTTTATCAATAGCAACTGGGAAGGTTAAATGAAATTATGTTTCTAAAGCACTTAGTACAGTATCTAGCCCACAGAAAGCACTGGCTGGATGGTAGCTTCTTCGTTTTCATCATTGTTGGGTTGCATAATGGGGTGGGAAAACATAGTCCAGAGAATTGAAATTCAAGGCTACCCTTTGACCATGAATGGCCTCCATGTGACCTTGATGTCATAAACTGTTTTGAGCCTCAGGTTCCTCATCTTTCAAATGGTAATCATAATTCCTGCCCTACCTACTTCATCAAAATATTTGGAGAATCTAATGAGATTAAAGTATAGAAGTGCTTCAGAAAGCATAAACTTCTTTACATACTGGAGAGGTTGTAAGGCACCAGGCTAACCCTGAAACCAGATACACCTTCTGAAGCATGAAGCATGAGCTCTGCCTACGGCCTCTCATCCCATCATGCGCCCTTGACCAACCCCTATAGTACTCCCTCTCCTTTTTCCACCTCCTGTCCCTGCTTCCCAACAATTGGCTCCCAGCCCTAGACAACACCCAGGATCATCAGGCCCAGTGCCTGTCCTTTTCCTCTCCCAGCCTTGTCCTACTTGGGAGGAGGTGTGTTGGCTGCTATGCCAGGTGCCCTCCCATGGCATGCAAAGCCTTGCCCTTCTCACCAGTACTGTAACTGACAAGTGATTAGGAAACAAATAATTAGGGCCAAGCGTAAAAGGAATTTTACAAAAGATGTCACCCCCAAAAGACTATGGAGGGGGCTGAAGAAGGGTAGGCAGGGCACTTTGTGGTTTCCACAGCGCCATCCAGCCTGAGTTCACAGGGGACGCCCAAAGGCTACCTTCTTACCGCCACAGAAGTACAGAACCTAGACATCCCAACCCACACAATGAGGTGGCCGGCCACCTTAGCACCCAGAGCCCCCTGAGCCCAGGAGAGAAGGAAACAAGCCTAGTAAGATATGCACCATGGACACACATGCCTGCCAGTCATGAAATGTTGGCTGTCTACTGCTTGTCAGAACAGTGTGTTCACCGTGGTGGACTCAGAAAGATGCTAGAGCCCCTATCCTCTGGTTTTACAGGTGTTCTGTAAAAGAGACAGTTGACCATAAAAAAATAACTAAAACATGGCAGTATATGGGAAGTAACTGCAAATTTTAGGAAGAGGCAGAGGTCTTTGGATGTCAGAGGATAGGAGAAAGAGCTGAGGAGATCCAGAAAAGCCTTCTGGAGGAGCTAGGACTTAAACATGACCTTGAAGGACAGAAATTGGTGGTACCATGGTGAGCCAGGTTAGGTGCTGGCTCTTTAAGGGATGAGAGAGTAGCTGACTTTGGCTTTGGCAGCAAACACTGCCTCCTCTGAATTGTGGAGCCCATGGCTCTGACCTTACAGATTTCACTGAATGCAGAGACCAAAGGTACTAACTGAACAGATTACCAGCTTCAACTAATTCAGAGTTGGCTGAATTTTCTCACATTCCTTTTTATTCCAAGTTAGAAAATTCCAAAACCATGCGTGTTTTTACTGTTTTCAACCCAAGTCATCTTATTTCATCTTAAGCAATGTATAAACTCTAGAAGGGTATTTTGAAAAGACCCCAGAAAGATGTCTTTTTTTTTTTTTAAGAGGTTTTTGCTATAGGGCTCATGCGCTCGCCAGACAGACAGAGAGAGACAGAGAGACAGAAAGTGAGAAATCACCCCCCAGGGAGGATGGCCACACCACAATCCCTTCTCCTCCACTCTCCTCTCAGGAAGAAAGATAAGAGTCTTGAGTTTACAGGGACCAGCAGTTAGTGTAATGGCCATGTCACTGGACTCCCATGTACTTGACCACGGTTCACGTCCCGGACCTGGTGGCTTAAAACTCACGCCAGGTGCCTGTGCATGCGTGCCCAAGCCCCCTAGAGGAGAATGGAGGAGAAGGGATTGGCCATCCCTCCTGGGGGGTGATTTCTTGCTTTCTGTCTCTCTGTCTCTGTCTGTCTGGCGAGCACACGCGCCCTATAGCAAAAGAAAAAAAAGGGAGAGTCTTGAGTTTATTCTCATCTTCCCAGATACCTTGAAACTTGAGAACTGAAGTGGAGCCTTGTGGTGGGCAGAGATTTTCTACAAGCTGAAATGATTAGACATGATTTTTGCTGTTTTTTTTTTCAAGGCTCTTCAAAATATATCTCCTCTCAGAATATGCAATCCAGCCTTGCTTCTCTAAACTCTTCACTTTTCAGATTTCTTTATAGAATTGGAGAACTGGAGAGGTCACCTTATCCACCTCCATTTCTGAGCAGGCCATGTATAATCCTGCTATGACTGATAAGAGAAAATAATTGTTGAAAGGGAACACCACTTCCTTCACTTCATGATCTCTCCCCTAACAATAGGCAACTCAGCATTATTTCTTCTCTGAGCCAAATATATTTCATTTGCTTGCTACTACTTATCAATATTTTCACCTCCTCACACACACGCACACACACACACACACACACACACACACACACAGGCTGAACATCCCTAATGTGAAAATCAAAAGTCCAAAATCTGAAAATTTTTGAGCACCAACAAGGCACCACAAATGAAAAATTTCACAGCTGACCTCATGTGAGTAGTCACATTGAATGCTGCAATGCAGAAATATTATATATGTACATATACCTCTGAAACACAAATGTGTTTATACTTGGATCCCATCTCCAGGATATCTCATTATATACATACAAATATTCTAAAATGTGAAACACTTTTGGTCCCAAAAATTTCAGATAAGAGATTCCCAACCTGTATACATACACAGTATGTTAAAAGCATACTACAAAATACTAAGCTCTATACAATTGAAAACTGTATATATACACACATCATTAACACATTATTATGTGTGTATATATATATACATATATATATACACATACATATAGTGTGTGTGTGTATGTATGTATGTTTACAATGTATATTCATATGTATAATCAGACCTAACAGAAACAAACTTGGATTTAATACCCTCTTTCAGTTATATAAAGCTTTGTATTTTGCTGCATGCTTTTAAAATCTTCCACCTTAATTAATCTTGTGAAAACAAGCTGAAAATCTGAGCCTCATTGAATGAATATGGAAGTCAAGTGACTGGTTCAAGATCACCAGGAAATTTGACACCAGGCTTGAGATGGAACTGAAATGTTTCGGTTGGTCTTCTACCTCCATGGCCAGTGCTCCAGAAAAATTAGGATAGAAGCAGTTATTTGCTTCTAAAAGGTTCTTCAGCTTCTTGACTAGGTAAAATTCTTCTCATGCACTGAAATTATAATTCAGATGGTAAAACTTTAGTCCTCAAAACCCATTCTTTAGGCAGCTAACAGCATATAGTGTTCAGCAGCATCATATCATACATTCATTTAACCCAAGTGAATTTGATTCTGCACTTCTGGCCAGGGAAAAAAGAGAGAAACAAAGAGAGGGTAGATAAGACAAGTAGTGACCATTGTCAAAGACAAAATGTACTGGATAATCAGAGATGATCTGATTCTGGAGGACATTCTCTAGAGAGGCAGGTAATAGGCATTCATCAGTGAGTCTTATGGGAAGTCTTACGGAGATGGGTCTTTTCTTGGATCACATGAGAACTTAGTAGTCCTTTGTGGGTAGAACACAAAGACTGATTAACTATGGTTTCCTTTCCAGTGGCACAGGGCTCAGGTATACTCAACATTGTCACCATTTAAAAAAATATTCTTCTCCTTTCCACCCAGGCAGTGAGCCATGCTCTAGACTGAGTGTGATTTGGGCAACCCCAACTTTCAGTCACTCACAGTTTGCTTGTGTCTCTCTTAGTTGGCATCTTGCTCCCTGGCCCTGATTGGTGTCAGAATATGCATTGTTTTTTTAAAAACACATGGCCCTAAATGCAAGTCAGGAACTTTATCTGATGCTTAAAGGAAAGACCAAGTTGTTTCCACTGAAGGGCAGACCATCAGCGTTGACTTCAGGAAGTTGGTAGTTGGCCCCCAGTATTCAATGTCCACTGGATTTTTGGGTGTAGAACCTCACTTTATGAAACATAGAGCTCCATCTGTGGAAGAGCAAGTTCACAGTGAAGACATGGGCCTTCCCCTGGGTGGCCTACAGGTCTCTGGGAATGGGAGTCTTTGTGGTGCCTGATGTTACCTGTTTTCTGAACAGATCCTGCAGGAGTTGGAGTATGGGCCCTCAGTGGACTGGTGGGCACTGGGCGTGCTGATGTATGAGATGATGGCTGGACAGCCCCCCTTTGAAGCTGACAATGAGGACGACCTGTTCGAGTCCATTCTCCATGATGATGTACTATACCCAGTCTGGCTCAGCAAGGAGGCTGTCAGCATCTTGAAAGCTGTGAGTCACCACCTGTCACCTGCTCACTGCTCCCCAGGCACCTCCCCTACATATGCACACACATACCCCTGTCTCGTCCTTTCTCTTTCTGTGCTCTTGCTTTCTTACCTGTGCTCACCACTCAAAGGGAATAGTTAGGGACAGCCACTGCTGGGATTTCAGGTGTCATCAGAGAGCATCTTCTCAGAGAATGGGGTGTGGGACAAATCATTATTCTCATGTTGCCTGAGATGGGGAACTGTGAATATCTGTGCCCTCCAGCATTTCAGAGGGACCAGAACCAGCCCAACTATGCTGTCATTATCTCTGCTACTTGTACTCTGAGAGCTGGCCCCTGCTTCCTTATCTGCCACCTATATCTGTCTTCATCTGTGGTCAGTGATGAGGAAGAGAGGAGAGGGGGGTGAGGGAGAGCACTGCCCACCTTTGTCCATAAGAGCATCACTGTGGGTGAATGGCAGGTCAGAATAAATCTTGTCCACTCAAGATGCATGCAGCATGCTGGATTCATAGCCTGCCATACTCTCATAGCCTGCTGGGCAACTGTCTTGTCATTCATTAGAACCTCAATTAAATTCTCTTGGGTTACTGCGTATGTCTTCCCAGCCTCCCTTACTCTCCTATGTGCTCCATGAGGGCAAGGATTGTTTCTCTCATGTAACCCTGATACTCTCATGGCTCATTACAGTGTTTGGGGTAGAGTGGAGATTCACATGGTCACTAGAAGGAGAAAGGATGTTTCATAGACAAATGCTGAGCACCTGCTGGGCCAGGCACTCAGCTAGGCTCTCAGCATCCAAAGGCAACTCTCAGCCTGACTTCTCTCCAGCCTCTTACATTTTTACTTCCCTATAGAAAACAGAGCCTTTTCTTTTTTTATTTTTAAATACCACCGAGTATATATCTACAACAGAGAAAGAGAGCGAGAACCTTTCCATGGCATCTGGCCCCACTGCAGTCCATTTTTCCTCTACGTCTCCTTCTAATCAAGATCTTGGGCATGCATGCATACATGCTCTCAATATTTTTCAAGCCATCAGGGTGGAATTCGAACTGGGTTGGCCATGTGGGATCTGACTCCCTCCTCTTTTAAAGGTGCATATGTCATCCAGTGGCAAGGAATCTTGCTCAGGAGGACTAGATTATCCAACTTTTCAAATTAAGTTCTTTTTCTAGTGTATACATTAAGGTTTCATTTCTTTCATTGCTTTTTAAATAGATAATACAGTTACATGGGGTTATAAAAGCAAAAAGTATAAAAGGAGATATGGTGAAAGGTATCTATGTCACCCTTGCTCCCAACTGGCCTTGCCCACACACTCTACCCTATGGGGAACTCCGTTTCAGAGTTCTATATATCCTGCCAGGAGTTCTTTAGGTATATACAAGCAGGTACAAATATAAGTGTTTATTTCTTCTTCTTTTTTTTAGTGTACAAATGCTGTATGTGTGTTTTATTTTCCACCGAGCCATCTATCTGGACAGACATTCGCATGTTCCTCCTACCTCCACTTGCACTTTGAAGCAGCAATGTGGGAGTATCTCTGAACCATCATAGAGGACCCTACTTGGGACATGGGGTAGAGACAGGAGCTTTTGCCCCTTCTAGTTCTCAGAGCCCCATTTCATCCACGTCGTTAAGTAGCTGAGGAAAAGCCTCTAGCACTGAGGCAGTTAAAGCACAATGCTGGTGGCTCTGGCCCTTGTCCTGGGCCATGACACTAGTCCAACCTCCCCTTCCTATGGGTCTCCCTGCAGCACCCTGGCTGAGCCTTCTCATTTTGGATGAACTAGAGTAGTAATTCTTAGTTAGGGATGACTACCGCCCCATCCCTGGCTGAGACATTCATCAATGCCTGGGATATTTGTGTTGTCAGAACCTAGGGTAGGAGTGCTGGTGGCGTGTAGTGAGTAAAGGTCAAAGGGGCTGCTAAACAGTTCACTGCTCAGGATATGCCTCATAGCAAAGAAATGACCAGTCTAAGACATCAGTGGCACCAAGGCTGAAAAACTGTCCCATAGAGACTCAGAAGTCAGGTCATACCTGTGTTAACTAGTGGGCAAGGGCGAAGTCTCCTGAGAAGAGCTCTGCCCTCTGATATGGGCCTCAGACTCAGGGCAGCTTCCTGAGGTGCTCAGGCCTGCACATTTATCCCCAGCTCTGGTACTTCCTCTCCGAGAAGAGGGAGGACAGGAAGAGCTGAGGAAATAAGGAGTCTCTCCTCCCTTGTCCTTGGACCACTCACTTCCTGACATTGTCATCCAGGACCAGGCCAGATTTCCATGGCTCTGGCTGCTGAGCTGTGTCTCTAAGGGCTGCTGTCCATATGAAGGGAGTGCAGAACTCCAGAGAAAGCCATTTGCGTCAAAGAGTTCTGTAGTGCACAACTTATGCTACAGGAAGTGGCAATACTGTGGCCTCCCTTCTTCAGCACTGTACTTGAGGCCCAGCCTTAGCCCATATTTAGTCATTACAGCTTCCAGAGTGCACAAAAGAAGCCAGGCACTGAGCCAGGTAAGACAGAAAAGATTCCTAAATTAATAGAGTTCATCAAAAAAAAAAAAAAGGAAGAAAAAACTGTTTAAATAAATTACAATTTAAATAAGAAACATGGGGTACAAGGTATCAAAAGAAGAGGGAGAAATCTAGGAAGGCTTCACAGAGGTGGCAGCATTTTTGTAAAAATTTTTATTTCTATTTTTTTTGCGGGGGGGAGAGGTTTTTTTCTTTCTGGCGCATGCACTCACCAGAAACACAGAGAGAAACAGAGAGACAGAAAGCAAGAAATCACTCTCCTCCAGGGGGATGGCCACACTGCAATCCCTTCTCCTTCATTCTCTTCTCAGAATCTTAGACGCACATGCACATGTGCCCAGCGTGAGTTTAAGCCACTGGGTCCAGGACTTGAACTGCAGTCAACTAGATGGGGGTCCAGCAACATAGCCATTACGCCAAGTGCTGGTTCCTATTTTTTTTATACATTCAATCACATTACTTAGCTTACAAAGTGAACATTTCAACATGTGTATATTTCTCACCAGTCTAGTTCACCACACTAGAAACTTATCTTCAATAGATAATAATCCATTTCTTTTTTTTTTCTTAGAGGTTTTTACTATAGGGCGTGTGCGCTCGCCAGACAGACAGAGAGAGAGAGAGACAGAGAGATAGAAAACGAGAAATCCCCCCCCGGGGGGGATGGCCACGCCGCAATCCCTTCCCCTCCATTCTCCTCTCGGGATCTTGGACACGCACACACATGCACCCGGTGTGAGTTTAAGACACTGGGTCTGGGACGCGAACCGTGGTCAACTACATAGGAGTCCAGCGATATAGCCATTACACCACTGCTGGTCCAATAATCCATTTCTTTGTCCCATAAATGCCTTGCCTCTCTATTTTTCTCCTTAATGTCCTTCCTCAGCCTCTACTCCTTCACCTGCCCCCTTCCCACACTGTATCTGGGATTCACACCTATTTACTTAGTTTCTATAACCTTTAGACATTCAGTTTCAGCCATAGAGTGAAGACACTTGGTATATATTAAGTGAAGCCATACAATGTCTCTCCTTCATTGCTTGGCTTGCTTTAGCAGTAAATCTTCCATATTCATCTACTTTCTGTCAAAAGCTAGGGTCTTGCTGTTTTTTATGGCTGAATAGTATTCCATAGAGTATATGTGCCACAGTTTTTCAATCCATTCATCTGTTCGTGGGCATTTGGGTTGGTTCCATGTCTTAGCAATTGTGAATAATGCCACAATAAACATGGATGTGGAAGCATTTTTCCGATGAAGAATTCTTCTGTTCCCAAGAAGTGGGATTGCTGGATTCATATGGTAGTTCTATTTGTAGATTTTTGAGGAATCTCCAAATTGTTCTCCACAGTGGCTGGACCAATTTACATTCCCATCAGCAATGTAAGAGAGTTCCCCTTTCACCACACTCCTGCCAGCACTTATTTTTTTTTTTTTTTTTACCTTAGTCATTCTGACTGGGGTTAGGTGGTATCTCTTTGTGGTTTTGACCTGCATCTCCCTTACAATGAGTGATGTTGAGCCTTTTTTCATATGCCTTTTGGATATTTGTATGTCTGTCTTAGAGAGTGTTTTTTTTCAACTCATTCTCCTATCTTTTAATAGGGTTAATCATCTTTTTTCTAGACAGCTGCTTGAGTTCCTTGTGTGTTTTGATTATCAATCCCTAATCTGATGCAGTTTACCAAAATATTTTCTCATTCTGAGGGCTCTCTATTCACACTAATTACTGTGTCTTTTGTCATGCAGAAACTTCTTAATCTGATGTAATCCCACTTGTCTATTTTTAGGATTATTTACTGTGCTTTGGCGGGGTCTTATTTAAGAAGTCTTTGCCTACCCCAATGTCTCTCAGTTTCCCCAGTGTTTTCCAGAAGCAGTTTTATAGTTTGAGGTCTTAGGTTTAGATCTTTGATCCACTTTGAGTTGATTTTTGTCAAAGGTGAGAGATAGGGCTTCAGATTCATCTTTCTGCAAGTGGATATCCAGTTTTTCCAGCACCATTTGCTAAAGAGGTATTCCTTTCCCCACTGAATTAATTGGTACCCTTTGTCAAAAATCAGTTGGCTGTATGTCTGGGAGTTTATTTCTGAGGACTCTATTCTGTACCATTGGTCCACCTGCCTATTTCTGTGCCAATACCATACTGTTTTTTATTACATTAGCTTTGTAGTATATTTTGGGGCTAGGGAGTGAGATGCCACCCACTCCACTTCTCTTGTGCAGATTGCTTTGGCAATACAAGGTCTTTTATGATTCCAGACAAATTACATGATTGTTTTTTCTAAATCTGTGAAGAATGTCTCTGGTACTTTGATTGAGATTGCATTAAATATGTAGATTAATTTGGATAGAATTGCATTTTGATTATATTAATTCTTCCAATCCAGGAACATCAGATGTCCTTCCACTTTTTTGCATTATTTTTAATTTCTTTTTTTAGCTTCTCATAGTTTTCTTTGA